AATTGGATCTTAAGAGTGGATATCATCAGATTCGTATTAACCCGGGGGATGAATTGAAGACAGCATAAACTCGCGAAGGTCTCTTTGAATGGCTTGTTATGCCCTTTGGCCTCTCCAATGCACCCAGCACGTTTATGCGCGTGATGAACCAAGCTTTATGACCTTTCATCGGCAAGTTTGTCGTCGTTTACTTCGACGACATTCTCATCTTCAGCTCCAATGTAGAAGACCACATCAAACATCTCACCGATGTTCTTCTTGTTTTACGGCAGGATAAATTTTACGCAACATTAAAAAAGTGTGAGTTCGGTGCATCTGAGGTGCACTTTCTTGGTTACATTGTCCCCATAAAGGGCTTGCTGTCGACCCAGGGAAGATCTCGGCCATTACAACTTGGCCTACTCCTTCTACAGTCACAGACGTCCGTAGCTTTCATGGCTTGCTTTCGTTTTATCGACGATTTGTGCCGCAGTTCAGCAGTCTCATGGCCCCAATAACAGATACCATGCGTGAGGGACAACTCATTTGGACTCCAGAAGCCGCGGCAGCATTCGATGTCATAAAGAAGAAATTATGCACGGCTCCTATTCTTGCATTACCTAACTTCTCTTTGCTATTTTAGTTGCATTGTGATGCATCAAAGGCAGGTATCGGTGCTGTTTTAAGCCAACGCGGCCGCCCCATAGCTTTTTTTAGCGAGAAACTAGCGGGAGCTCGATCGCGTTATAGTACGTATGATGTGGAGTTCTACGCAAATTTTTCAAGCCGTTAAGCATTGGCTTCATTATTTGTTCCACAAGGACTTTGTCCTCTACACTGACCACGATGCTTTGAAACATTTGAGCAATCACGGAAAGATCTCATCCCGTCATGCCTCTTGGATTGCTTATCTTCAGCAATTTACTTTTGTCATTAAGCACACGTCCGGCGTTACAAATCGCGTAGCTGATGCGTTAAGTCGCATACATTCTCTACTTGCCACAATTCATGCTACGGTGACTGGGTTTAATACGTTTGCAGACCTCTACCCCACGGACCCATTCTTTGGACATATCTTTGCTGCAGCAGCGGCATGGTCATCATCTCAGTACACAATTCATGACGGTTTCCTATTCCATGGGACTCGTTTATGTATTTCTGAGTCAAGTTTGCGGCTTCAAATCATCACTGAGCTTTATCGGGAGGGCCACATTGGGCGTGATCGAACACTGCACTTGGTGTCAACCTCCTATTTCTGGCCGAACTTAAGACGTGACGTGGAGCGTTATGTTGAGCGTTGTACAGTTTGTCAAACATCTAAAGGACAAGCTAGTAACGCTGGCCTCTACATGCCATTACCAATTCCAACTCAACCATGGACGAATATCAGCATGGATTTTGTACTAGGACTTCCCCGTACTCAGCGTGGTTTCGATTCTATCTTTGTTGTGGTCGATAGATTCTCGAAAATGGCTCACTTTGTGCCCTGCAAGAAAACAACAGATGCGTTGCAAGTGGCTACTCAGTTTTCCGGGAGATATATCGTCTTCATGGCTTACCAACCTCAATTGTTTCGGACCGTGATTCAAGGTTTCTTGGCCATTTTTGGCGATCTTTGTGGAAGCAGTTAGGTACGTCTCTTGATATGAGTTCGGCTTATCATCCTCAAACTGATGGTCAAACGGAGGTCACTAATCGATCATTGGGAAACTTGCTACGTTGCTTGGTGGGAGATGCACTTGGGACGTGGGATTCGAAGTTGCCACATGCTGATTTCGCGCATAATCATGCCTTGAACCGCAGCTTGGGTTTTTGCCCGTTTCAAGTCGTCTATGGCACCATTCCTCGGGGACCATTAGACCTTTCTACTCTTCCAGATCGTACAAGACTACACGGTGATGCTACTACCTTTGTGGACGCTATTACTGATATACATACAAAGGCTATCTCCAATCTCGAGACTTCATCTTCTAAGTATAAAAAAGCTGCGGATACACACCGCAGGCGTTTGGTCTTTGAAGTCGGCGACTTTGTTTGGGCATATTTGACGCGCGACCGTATGCCTTCCCATGCGTATAACAAGCTTAAGGAAAAGAAGATTGGTCCTCTCGAGATATTAGAGCGCATTAATGACAATGTCTATCGTCTTCGTTTACCGGCTGGTATCAACACGTCAGATGTCTTTAACGTGAAATATCTTTCTCGTTTTGTTGCCGATGACGTCATTGCAGATTCGGGGTCGAATCTTTCTCACCAGGGGGGACCTGATGCAGCAGCATCCGTGATTCAAGCACCAACATGATTATTCAAATCATCATGTTACCGTTAGATTCCTTTTCTTTATCGTTGGATTCCTTTTGATTTATCTTTTCCTCTTTCGGTTAGGTTTTCTGTTTTCCTTTTCTAAACCGGTTTGTGGTTTTCGAATAGCTATATAAAGAGAGTTATATCTCTCTTATAGGGCACGTTTGATTTAATACAATAGCTTTTGCTTTATTCCTTATTTCGATTCGATTAAATTCATCCAAATAAGAAGTTGGTCTCAAGAAGCTAACGAAAGTAACTCTTGATCGATCCAAGAACAAGTCTCGAAGAACCCTAAATTCTTAGATCGACCGTTCACCCATTCGTACGCTGCGCCAGAAATACTTTCATCTAATCTATTAAAAGTGAAGTACAATTAAGAAATAATCCTGAATTTTCCACAATAATTACAAAGAGTTGCCACTGACATTATACACAGTCGTTTTACTTGATTAATAAACCAGGAACTTAAATTTGATTCGCCTTGCTTTTCTAAATCAGTCACAACCAATTGTTTCGGTCGGTTGGTCTATGAAATCGCTTATCAAGGAACATAAATCTTCAACACATCTATTTAAAGTATATATTCATTAAATATTTCCAAAATCTATTTTACTACAAATATACGTAAATGGATGAAGTAAATTCTTTTTTTGTCAACCTAATTATATCACGCTAACATATACCAGCTTTAATATTATTTTTTTTAAAATCACGTGATACCTTTTACTCTTATTGTCCTTCACATATTTCAACCACAATCTAATATTTGTGATTTTTTTCTTTAAAACCAAGCTTTACGTGATATAGATACTGATACCGGGATCATTCAATCTCCAATACAAATCCTCTAAGTTACTGAAACAAGAATTCAAAATATAAAGATACAAAAATAAAACGTAAATAAGTTAAAATAATTTCGTGGAATTCCTAAAACATTATTTTACACTTAGCTTCTGAAATGGATTGTATACTCCTCGCGTCATGATTCCCCAATTTTCTTCACATCTCTCTGGATTGTTAAGCAGAGTATTCCCATTGTTATAATCAATTTCACCAGAGAACATCACAAGCTTCCCCGAGTTGAAGAATCTGCCTTAAGAGATCATTGAAGTCATCTCCACCAGAAATCTTGAAACCATTGTCTCCCGCACTATCAGATTGAGGACTCTGATGGCATTAAACCAACCACAATGGCTGCAGCAGCACTAATGGCTATTAATGAAGATGCTTCAAGGAATATTCTTTTGTGATTAACAAGAATTACATTAATCGCAACCACAACTTAACGCAATCATCACTGCTAACGACTCATCTGCATTACGTGGTCGTAATCTTACAGCCACTTGAACACTCCCAAGCACTGTTAAAAGAGAATATACATCAACCACAATAACAAAAACATGATTCTCTTTTACAAAAAGAAAGTTTTTTTTTTATCTTTCTTGACTGTCCAGCAAATATTGGAGAAGCAAAAAAAATTCCAACCATAAACTCAGAAGAAAAAGTCCATCTTAAATTTTTTTTTTTTCATCTTGAAAGTTGGTTATGCTAAACTCCTCTTTATTAACTACAGAAATTTCGGTGTTTTGTAAATTGAGAACAGAAAATCAGAGATGGAAAAGAGTGAGCGATAAAATAACCTTAGCTTCCAGTTCGAGCAGACCAAAGGTCTTTGGAATCAAGCTAAAGTCTCCTCTATAAAAAGAACCATCAGTTTCTGTTGCCGTGATCTTCCCCTTTTAGCTCTTCCTTTGCCTTCATAAACTGATCTTTGAATAATCTTAAGATTTATCACCGATATGTGAAAAGATTGAATCAGAAATTACAGAATAGATTGAATCAGAAATTACAGATTAGAAGAAAGAGTAAAAAAGAAGATACTCAAAAAGGTTGATTACAAATACATGCAAGAGAAACATCTCTCAATTAATTGTTTAAAGATTATTTCTGCTCAATAAAAGCTTAGTTGTTGAGAAATCAAAGAAATGTTTTATTGCCCCTTTGAAACAACCTAGAGAAGTACCAATCCTTAAGAAAAAATTATCAATGACTTTTTACTTACAAAAATAAAATTTTTGTTGGCCTTTGCACCAAAAAGAAATTGATGGGCCAACTAAACTTCATTAAATTCATATGTAAATTCTTTAAAAAATTATGAATTTGAGTTTTGTGTCAAAATGTATATCAAACAACAAGTTCAAACAACAAGATCTATATCACTTATTTATAGATCAAATAACAATATACTATCTACATTACTTATGAACAAATTAAAACATATACAAACATGTATTAATCGAAAATAACAAGTTACAAATTAAAATAAAACCCGCACGGGTGTGCGGGTCAAAATCTAGTTCATGTTTGAAAAAAATAAAATAAGATTTGTTTTGGAATTTTTGGGATGGTTGAACTAGCTATGTCGCTGTTGAAATGTCTAAGTCTCGTGATTCTGTCTGTCTCCCTAAGACTTGAAAGAACAAACGAGATGATGGGTTTTTTTTTATGTATTTAATCTAAAACGCTTGCTTGAGAGTCAAGAAACGTCTTTGTCAACCACGAGATCATGTTGTGGAAAAACAAATCGTGGTAGCAATTGGTAGTCACGATATTAACAACGTGCATGCACCTTAAACAAGTTGAATGTTTTTTTCAATTTTTTTCGATATTTAAATATTGAATTGTAAGCAAAGATGAAATCGAAAGGCTGGGAAGGAATATCTCTGGTATCAATATTTGATTTTGACCAAGTCGTTAAGCTATTATTAAACTATGGTTTCTCGTATATAATATAAACCTAACTCTGTTTTTTTGTGCAGAAGTGAAATTTGTTTTTGTTGTCCCTTTTAAACAAAAAGAAGATCTCAAGGTAATTTATATGGTTCTTGCTCTATTAGATCTCAAGAAAAGGTCAATGTGTTTTGAATCGTATATGTGAATGAACAGATGAGTGAAGAAACATATGAAGAAACGATGGAATCAAGTCAATCTCCTCGTCCTGCTCCAAAACTGAACGAGAGGATCCTCTCAACTCTATCGAGGAGATCTGTAGCTGCGCATCCATGGCATGACCTTGAGATTGGTAAGTTCACTTCTTTTTCAATATTCCCTTATATAGTCACATCACATCTACACATAAATTGTAAGTTTTGTTTGGTTTGTTTTTCAGGTCCTGAAGCTCCATTAGTCTTCAACGTGGTATGTCTCTTATACCTAATAACTCAAATAAACTTCTTTCAGTTTCTATTTTTCTTTGTTAACAAGAGCCTCTCGGATCAGGTGGTTGAGATCACAAAGGGAAGCAAAGTGAAATATGAACTTGACAAAAAGACCGGTCTTATCAAGGTAAGTGAAATGAAATCCACATATAGTGATCATCATCTCTGTTCTATCAACAAATTTGTTTGATGACATCTAAATCATTCTTAGGTAGACAGGATCTTGTACTCATCGGTTGTTTATCCTCACAACTATGGATTCATCCCCAGGACATTGTGTGAAGACAACGATCCTCTCGATGTTCTTGTCCTCATGCAGGTACACAACATCAAAATCACCAGAGGAAATGTATCATCCATTTTTCTAACACTTTTTTTCTTTCTAACATGTTAAGCTTGTGTATAGGAACCAGTGCTTCCAGGATGTTTTCTCCGTGCTAGAGCCATTGGATTAATGCCCATGATTGATCAGGTTTCTCCTCTTCGGTCTCTTACTATAAATATTTCCTTGGTTTCCCACGCAACATTAAAGAGCTATAAAATGTGAAAGCTTTAAGCATTGAGAGAGTGAATAAGAATCAAACCTGAAAATGAGAAGATGATGACTAACGCTCATCATACAGGGAGAGATGGACGACAAGATCATAGCCGTGTGTGCAGACGATCCAGAGTACAAACATTTTACCGACATCAAACAACTCGCTCCTCACCGTCTCTCAGAAATTCGTCGTTTCTTCGAAGACTGTAACCTCCTTTTCTTTATTTATAACGTATCGAATTGTTAAAAAGAAAAAAAGAAACAATACATAATGTTTTCTTTATTGGATCTTATGATTGTAGACAAGAAGAACGAGCACAAGGAGGTGGCTGTTAACGATTTCTTGCCATCGGAGAAGGCACATGAAGCAATCCAGTACTCCATGTAACATTCCCCAAAACCATAAACCTAAAAATCGCAAACTTTTGATAAATTGATGGAAAAGAAGAGTAATGATTGTATAATGGTTTAACGAATTTACAGGGATCTATACGCTGAGTATATTCTCCATACCTTGAGGAGATGAACCAACAACATCACGTTATCTTCACATACACGGAAAGAAGTTTATGCTTCGCAGCATCCCCGCAATAAAATATTTCTACGGGATTATTATTTTGAATATTCATTTTTCAGACATTATTTCGAATATTCATAGTTATTATATATATATGTTCAAATTTTCCAGGTTTCTCTTGTTAACTTTTTTTCTTGTGATGTTGCAATTCTGTTGAGTTGTATAATTTGAAACTGATACAAACTGTATTTTTCTTCCTTTCTGCTTTGTTGTTAGGTAATTCGTTTGCTAATGGGCTCTACAATCTCTTTAGGTCCAAGTATATCGGGCTTTTCAATTTTATTTCTTTTTTTTTTTTTTTGACAATTCATTTGTTTTCTTTTTTTTGAAACAACAGTTTTATTTCATTTGTTATTTCTCGAAGAAGAAGAAGAAAAAAAAAAAAAAGAATGTTTAGTTGTGAACATAACAGAACACTACACTATTAACAGGTTTTGTTTAGTTGGTAAATATTGAAGTGTGAATCCAAATGAGAAAGCGACTAAACGTGAGTAGCCATATATAGATAGAGAATGGGCTTTTGGATTTATCATCTATATCGTATTTTATTTTAGGCCTCACTTTTTTTAATTGGGACCACCCTAAAGTCCCCTCCCATTTGTTTTTTTTTGTGTTTAACTGTAATCATCTAAATGACCAATTAATTTTAAAATATGGTCTGACGTGTGTACGTGTGTATGTATGTATTTATCAAACTAGGATAAGACCTGCGCCTTGTGCAGGGTGAATATATGTAATTAAAATATAAAATTTTAATATTCACAAATTTAAAATTTACATATGATTGTTTTTGTATGTATTTGAAATTTTAGAATTTTGGAATTTTTATATAATTATCTATACGTATGATCAAAAACAATTTTAATTAGAAATGTAAATCAAATCTTAGAATTTAATGGATCTGATTTCATATATCT